TTCTCAGAATGCTTGAGCTGTTGAGACCTAAATAGCTAGTTGTAGCCAGAGTTTCTGGTTTGTCTGGCAGAAAAGGGGGTTCCGGGTAGGAAGCACACTAATATTTGCAGTCCCTAGAGAGGTAATAACCAGGCTGAGGATCAAGCAGGTTCGGAGGGAATCAGGGGTGGGCAGGCCCCACCCCCTCCAAATCCCAGGCGGTCCTTGTGAGGGCAGGAACACAAAACCCCTTTTCTGGAAGTTCCCTGCAAAGGGAAGAAGAGCCCCTAGGAAGCTCAACCAGAGCTGGGCCCCAGGCTAAGCCAGGTTCTCAGGCTGGGCTGCAAGGAAGAAATGGCCCCTTCAACACGCCTCCCCGGGCTGCAGGCTCAGCTCCCAGCCGAGCGTGCGCCCTGAATCAATTGAAATCGAGTCACGGATATAATTAATTTAATGTGTTTAAACGATTTTCTGTATAGTAAACATGCTGAATGAGGGTGACCTAGAATAAAGTGTCTGCCTGAGACTGGAAAAATGGATACCGTGTGTGCAGTATAATGAAAACCTCCAGCAAACAGAAAAGGCTTCCATTTATTTCCACCTCCCTTGTTCCTTTCCTTTCTGACTCTTTATTTATGGCTGAACTTGGCCTTCTGTGGTTTCCTTCGACCACAAGGACACTTTTTATTTTGTCAGGAGGTGTCCTTTTTTCTGCCATCAGAAGACATTTTTAATGAGACCTGTCTGCAATCCAGTGACAAGCCCAAATTAATATGTGACAAAAGAGGTGGGGGGTGTGTGTGTGGGGGACAAGTAGAACCGTTTCACTGTTGCAATCTCTTTCTCAACTAAAGGGGAACTTGCTTCAAGAGGAGGGAGACAGCCTAAGGAAGGGGATTGTCCGGGGAGGGTCACCAATTCTAGCCTGGCCCTGCCAGGTGATCTTTCCCTTAGACTTTGAAAGTGCCCTTCCTGGCCCTCAGAGGCTCACCTATAATGCAAGGGTGTTGATTTTGAGGATGTTTAAGACTGTTTTCAGTTCTGACATTTGCCAAATTATGAGTCACAAACCAGAGCAGAAGTGTGTGTCAAGGAATTTTTCATTAAAAAGAAATTCATCGTCAACTCGTGTAACGCGTTTCAGGCAGTCTTGTCTAATTGCTCATCAAGTAGGAATTATACATTATTCGGCTTAGATGAAAGGCAGCACTTGGAAGTGGTTATAAATTCTCTCCAACTAAGACGTATCACACATATCCAGTCAAAATGCTGAGTTCTAGGATGAGGAGAGATGGCAGAATGCTTCCTAGATTCTGGAGCTCTCTAGCCAGACTTTTCAACTCAGGGGCCTGTGAGCCACTCGATTAAATAAGAAACAAAGGGGGAAAAGATGATCCTGGCCAAGGCACCTACGGACCCCTGTGTTGAAGTCACTCTGCCAATGCTACCCCTTGGCATCAGGAGAGCCATCTCTGTCTCAAAGAGAATGGCCTTCTCGGTACCCGGGATGCTGGGGAGCCTTTCAGGAGAGTTCTTCGGGCTGCATGGGGAAGGTGAGGAGGGGGTCTGGAAGGGGCTCCTGGGCAGGGTTCATCTGTTACAGGGCAGGGAGAGAGGGGCACCCCTGAACCCCCAAACCTGCCTGCTCTAAATAGGTTCTGCCATCTGCCGCACCAAGACAAAACATGTCAGACTTTAATGAAAAGGAACTTTAATACAGCGAGTATACGACACAGAAGACAAAGAATATATTTTCTAAATCAAACACCCAAAGTTACCCATCCCCTAGTGGGTAAAAGTCCACCCCAAAGGGACTGGTCCAAAGCAAGGCCTGAAAGCCTGCCACAAGCCTAAAGCACCTTCTGGCCGGACCCATAGAAAAGGGTCAGAAATAGCCAGACAAGTCTGGGAGGAAAAGAGCAACATCAAAATCAATATAAACACTGCCATAGTCACCTCCCCATGGTCTCTCACCCACATCTCTTTCAACCAGTCCAGGGCCAAGAAATAAACACGGTTTCTTCACATGCTCCCTGCTCCATGCGGCTTCCTTCAGGACTCCTGGCTCTGCCCTGCTTCCTTCCTCCTCAGATTCTTTCTCTTCTTTTCTCTGCTCAGCTCCACCCTCCTGGGTGGGGCAGGGAACCTGGAACTTCCCCTTTTACTGGGGACCACCCTGTTACACCTCTTCTGTTCCAGGGCGAAGCTCTTTACTTTGTATTAGGCACTGGGCTCCATGGGTGAGTTGATAACAATAGGATCTGAGCATTAAACAACCAATTTTAAAAAATAATGTAATAGTTTATTTTCACATCATTTTGTGCCTTTTCTCATCTCAGTTGTAATCCCCGCGGGTTTCCCATCACCAAAACACCCCTGTGCCATCACCATAGTCCTGTGCACTTCCCTCCCCACCACCATTTTTGATCCCATTCCCGACTCCTCCCCCATAAAATGTCTCTGGTGTATAGTTGTTCATTATTATTACTGTTTTCTCGCCTGGTCTTTGTGCTCTTGCTATGAGTGAAGCCATCAGGTATTTTTCCTTTTCTTTCTGACTTATTTCACTAAGCATAATCCTTTCTAGCTCCATCCATGTTGCTGCAAAAGGCATGTAAACAGTCATTTTAAAAACCTAATGGTCTGAGCTATTCAAATTTCAGGCCTGATTCTAGGCTGTGCTGTAAACCCAGGCTTTGCCCATAACCAGAGTTCCTTCACACACCCCCACTGTGGGAACAGATGCCCAGTTCTACAGGCAGAGGCTGGCTGAAATTGGGGAACTTAGAAATTGACTTTGTTTTTAGCAAACCCCAGCGGTTCAAAACTCTAATGTGCTTCAGCATCACCTGGAGGGGCTGTTCAACATTGGGTGGCTGGACCCCACCCCAGAGGTTAGGATCCAGGGTTCTGGGTAGGGTGAAAGGAATGTTGGTGCCTTCCTACCAGTCACAGGGGCTGGTGCTGCCGGTGAAGCCCACCTTGAGAATCCAGGGCACCTAAGAAAAAGACCACCTCCACCTAGTGTCCTTTGAACTGGGTCCTGACTTACTGTAACAGGGTGGACCCAGGAAAAGGGGAGGTTCCAAGTTCCCTGCCCCAACCAGAAGGAGGGTGTAGCTGAGCCCAGAGGAGAGGAATCTGGAGAGGAGACTGAAGAGGAAGGAAGCAGGATGGAGAGCCAGAAGGTGACCTGAGGGAGGCCCAGGAAGTAGAGACATGTGAAGAAACTGCGCTTTTCTTCTTGGTCCTGGACTGGTTGAAACAGATGTGGGTGAGAGACCGGTGTGGAGGAGGTTAACTATGGCAGCTTTTATCTTGACTTTGATGTTGCTCTTTTCCTCCCAGACTTGTCTGGCCATTTCTGATCCTTTTCTATGGGTCCTAGCCAAAGGTGCTTTAGACTTGTGATGTGCTTTCAGGCCTTGCTTTGGGCCAATCCCTTTTGGGTGGACTTTTACCCATGAGGGGATGAGTAACTTCAGGTGTTTGATTTAGAAACTATATTCTTTGTCTGTTCTGTGTTGCACACTCATTGTATTAAAGTTCCTTTCCATTAAAGCTCTTATGTCTTGTCTTGATGCGGCGGATGGCAGAACCTATTTAGAGCAGGCAGGTTTAGGGGTTCAGGGGTGCCTTGGAACATTACCTTTGCAGCCTCACCACTCTCCTTTCCAACATTCCTGACAAAGTCACTGGCCCGCACCCATGCATGCTTTTCTCCCTTACCCTCTCTGGCTATCACACATACGTAACACACATGCTTCCTTTCTCAAAACCTCTGACGTTTCACCAAGGGCCCAACTTCCCCCCTCAGCATCCACACCATGTCTGCACCCACAGCCCCTGCACAGGCCCTGACCTCCCAGACCAACAACACCACTGTGACAGAGAATGAGCCTTAAGAAAAGTACCAGTCATCTCATCTGATCTCTTCACACCCAAGACAGAACGGCTCTATCCAGGAGAGTACTTATTCAACTGACTCTTCAGACAGGTTCTCCATATTTGTTGGGAGCAGAGTCAAGTGACAAATACATCATTACGAGACATAAATAACTACCACTTATGCCCATTACCAAGTGGAGTGTAATACGGCAATGCAGAGTCGACCGAGGTTCAGACCCCAGCTCGGAATGGCTGGAGATGCCTATAGGCACCAAGCTTCAGACTCCTCACCTTATCCTGGGGATAATAACAGCACCTACCTCCTGTGAGGGCGTATGGATGAGACCAGTATGAACGATAACATTACAGCATCTATTGAGCACCGACTATGTGCCCAGCATTGGGCATACATTTCTGGGACTTACATAAAGGACTTAGCACAGAATCTAGCACAATATAAACACTTAGGAAATTTTAGCTACCATTACCATTGCTGATTTTTCCCAGCTTCTATGAGAGACTAAGATCATCACCCCATTTCCCAGATGAGAAATTTGAGACTCAATGCAAAGAGATTGTTGAACAACTTTGGAAGTGACTTTTTTCCCTTTTATAATGGCTAATTTTTTTTACATATTGTTTTTTAATAATATAATAGTTTATTTTTACATCACTTTGTGCCTTTTTCCATCTCAGTTGTCAGCCCCATGGGCCTCCCATCACTAAATCACCTGTGTGCCATCATATAATGGCTAATTTTTTAAACCTCCTCAAGGTAGGCATTATGCCCATCTTGGGAATGAAAACTCTGTGGTTTGCAGTAGGAAAATTGAAAGTGAAGACAGTATTTAAACCTGCTCCAGTATTTAAAGCCAGAGCTCCTCTGGTTCACCCCATTCCACACTGGGTGAACTCTGCCTACTTAGTATGCAGTCGGCCCCAATGCCCTTTCTGATTGCTGAATGACAGGGAAGCATTTCCCCCAAATTCCAGGGGCCTCCCTGCTCCCAGCTCTGATTTCAGCAGCCCTGCTATCCTACAGTTATAAGAACATATTCAACAATCTCCTTCTCCTGCCTTATACACCTCTAAAGAACTTTGAGCAAAATAGAACTGGGGGATGTGAGACTGACCGTGACCCCAAAGAAGTTGGTCTCATTCATGGCATTGAGGATGATCCTGCCCAGCGTGTGGTCTGTGTAGTTGAAGTCTTGGATCCGCTGGTGCCGGCTGCTGGCGTGCAATGTCTCCATGGCCCTCTGCAGGGTCTTGGCGATGACCCAGATGCCATCGTAGGCATAGCCGTGGAACTTGCTAGGTCCCACACCTGACCGCTTGTTGTTGTATTCTCTCTCATACTGCTGTGGAGTCTGGAAAACAAGATGGTTGGGGACACCATGTTATAGCAGACAGGGACATGGGCACAGAGCCGAGAGCTGACGTTCTCTAGTGCCTACTATGCGCCAGGCAGGTTGCTAGGCTCTAGGTATGTTATCCTCACAACAACCTGACATGCTGGGTACTATTACTGCTCCCATTTTACAGATGAGGAAACTGAGTTAGGGAAGTTGACTTGCCTCGGGCCACACAGCTAATAAGTGGCAGAACTGAGATTTGAACCTGGCTGTCTGGCGAGGCTAGGGTGAAAGCATAATGTACCCCTAACCAGCTTGCCTGTGGATACTTGCAGGGCCTGGGGTTAGAGTACTAGTAGGATCCCCTATATCCTCTGCCTAAATATTTAACTTATAGACAAGCTAACACACTTCAATAAATGCTTTCGATTTCCCCATCATTATAAGCACACTTTCCTAGCGATCTGGAAGGTGGAGTGAATGCAGAATTCTGGGCTCTGCAGAGCTTCTGGCTGGACACAGCAGCACCAGGGGGCGGTGACCCTCATTCTCCCTTTCCTTTCCTATCCTGGCTCCCTCCTGCAGCTGAGAGCCCAACTCAGTCCACAGCTCCTCCCTCCAACAGCTTCAGTAGCCCCTTGACCACCCCGGAGGTGTGACCCCCCTCAAGAAGCTGACCCAGCAAGAGGCCCCCTACCCTCTTGGAAGTGGCTCAGCCATTTGGACAGGGTCACTGTCTAGAAGGGGAGTGGGGCTGCGTTCCAAGTGGGCATGTGTGCCTGTGGCCCTGCGGATTTGAGCTCTGGGGGGTCTGAGTGAGGACCTCGTGGTAGGTGGGCTAAGAGCAGGCCCCATCTGCCCAGGTATCAGGGTTGTTCCACCTGCTACTTTGTGTGACTTCCTCTTTCATCCTCGACCATAAAGCAGGTCTGTGAATAACTAACTCCACATTCAAAAAAGTCATTTTTAATTCCATTGAGCTGAATTTCATAAAAGAATTTCATTGGTGATATGAACATTCTGATTATGGCCACATAGTAATGAAACTACCCTTTTAACTCCAGTTCCTGGGGCTTGCCCATCCAAATGGCTGCCATCCCAAGGGAATCCACTACCCTCTGCACCCCCCAGGCCATTCCTCCAATCACTGTTCAACTCCTCTGCCAGTGATGCCACCAGAGTCATGGTTTAGTTTGAAACTCTCCTTGGGGACAAATCACACATACCAGCCATCAACTCCTGTCAGTTTATACCAGGAAGGCTCTTTAAGACTGTCATTCATACATGCCAGCCAGAGGCGCAGAGAGGTCCTGAGACTTGCCCAAGGCCACACGGCTTGTGTGTGTGCGTCTGGGTGTGGTTAGATTGATCTCATTCCACCATTGCTACTTCTCTTCAGGCCCAGAAGACACAATGTCATCTTGAAAATCTCCCCATTGCTTCGAGCCTGATGTGGTACCCCAGGGAAGGTGGTGAAGCTGAGCCACAGAAGGCTGGGTGGCCCCTGGAGGGACCCCCAGTTGAGTGTCCTGTCCTTGGTTGAGGGTCTTGGCAGAGTAGGGCTCTCACTCATGCCCAGAGCCAGCCAATTCTTTAAACTGGGCCCCCCAGGCCATGACTTCACCAATGGTGAAGGGTGTCCCAGCAACAGATCGACCTTCTTTTTAAAAATTTTGGGGCTTACAGGATGGTTCAGGTTTCATCCCTGTTTACAATTTTCCTTGGAAAAGCATTTTATTCAGCCATCACATCCCGCCCATCACTCACAATGCAAGACAGAGACCCTTCAAGGGAAGGTTCCTCAAGGCAACCGGTGCCTTGGCAGCCCTGTGCTCATAATGAAGCTCACCCTCCACCTGTGAGCACTGCTGACTTCTGCACTCACCCCCACCACGTCACTGCTCCGGGAAGCAGGAATCATCCATTCTGAGGCTCTTTCTCATCCTTTAACTTTTGTGTCCTCAGGGCATTTGCAGGAGGTGATTCTCTGGCCTGAAAACGTCTCCCCCTGGCTCTCTTCAGTATATTCTTGGCATTCGAATGTCAACACTTGTCACTTTTCAGGGATGCCTTCACTGACCCATCCTTTCTAACCTCCCACCCCCACCCCGGGCACTATTGTTCACATCTTGTATTTTCCTTTTTACCTGTTCACTAGCTGATTTTCTCTTCTTCCAACCCCGCTTACAAGGACTTACACCTCCTGGGATCAGGGATGGTATCTGTTCTGATCACTGAGCGAGCACAGAAACCCACAGCAAGAGTGTGTGAGAGCCTTTTTAAGTCTCACGTTTTCCAGATGAAAAATGAGGTGATCTAGAAGTTTCCTTTTAGCAGCAGAGGAAGGAGCATAGAGATAAAGCCACAGCATTTAGGAGATCTGCCCTGCAGCCCCACCTCTGTGGTTTGCTGTGACTTGAGGCAGGGTCCTATCTGCCTTGGTCTTAGAGTCCTTGCTGGGTGAGGTATGAGGTCCAGTTAGGTGATGTGTGCAAAGCACCCAGTCAGTGTCCAAGACATGCTAGGTGCCTGACAAATGCCAGTCGGTGCTATTAATTGCAGAGGGTTGGTCAACTTGTCTGCAACTGCGCGCCATGGATGCGCTGAAGACCCAAGACTGAGCCACACTGGCGGAATGGCCGCAGCCAGCTGCAGCATGCTCATGTGCCATCTCTAGCCTCAATGTCCTGCCTTACTTCATTTCCAGCTATTGGACATTTAGGTTATTTTTAATTTTTTCCTGTTATAGGACTGCAAAAGCATCCCCGTAACTACAATTTCTGAACACTCACTGATAATTACTTTTTCAGAATAAATTCCCAGAGGTATAATTGCTGAGGCAAAGGGTGTAAAAAACTTAAATGCTACCCATCCATACAAAGGACCAAATTATTTCACCCAAATATGAAAAGTTAAAGTCCCCCTGTGTATTGAAAGTACTTAAGTCTCTGAAGCCTTGAAAACAGTAGTTATTTTTACTTTCTAAAAATTATTATTAGTTTGTTAAGAAGAGAAAAAGGTATGTCTCCTCTAATTTTAATTTGTTATCTTTCTAATTAATGATTCGAGTGAGCTTCTTTCAAATACCGATGGTCAATTTATTTCATAGGTGCATTTCTTCCTTAAGTCACACCTTTTAATGTTTTTTTTTTAATGCATCCTGGTTATTTTTTCCATGTTTTATTATTTGGCTGTATTTTCTTTGATTTTTAAATGAAATTTGGGTCTATTCCTGGTTGCTACTGCAGCAATTGGCTACTTTGAAAGCATTAAAAAATTACTTGAATGTGTACTTGGCTAATTAATTGCTTTAAGCATAAAAGGAAAGGCCCCTTTGACTTCTCTCCTGGATTTTGCCCCTGTGAGCTTTGTCTGATGCATACAGGCATCTGAGGGCTGTGGTGTCTGTCTTTGAGTGCTGTTCCCTCAACCCAATGATAGACTCAAATGCGCTACCCAGGCCTCTTCCCCATCCAGAGCATACCACAGACACATGCTTTGAAATTTCTATGACCCTCTTAACGTCAGGGATCCAGTTCTGAGGTGAACATTCTCCATGTAGTCTCACCAGGAGGTAATCAGTTTTCTTTAATATCATGTATTTTACTGTTTCACTTCTTGTGGGGACATGAGGAGACCATGCTCAAATTAATTATTCAATTTGGTCGTAGGCCAACATAAGTTGCCCCCAAATATATTTTACATGTAGCACTTATAAACCACTATCTTTTCTGTCTCATGAAAGTGTTCTCCTCTGATAGCCTGAGGAGCAGGAGAGAAGTGGAAAACACTGGAAATATGACTGTTTACCTCATTTCTGTGAGTAGAGTCCTTGGAACAGGACACAGGTGCAGTTAAGCTCTGAAAGGTGACCTCATTCTCACTGTCTTTGCAAGCACTGAGCTGAAGACGTTATCGCCACCACATTATATCCCAGGCTATTCATCACCATCCCAGGTGAAGCCAGCACCAATGTCCCTTGGGCAAAACAATGACAGCAGGAAGAAACACTCTCCCAATTGTCTGAGAAATAAGTTATAGTTGTTTTTAAAGCAGGCCTCCAACACTTCAGGGCAGAATTTCTCCCATTGTGAAGCTGACACTGAAAGTTGATTAATTACTCATTCTCTGAGGTCAAGTTTATCATGAGATGTTAAAAGTTTCTGAGAGAATAACTTTATATAGATCGTCCCCATAACTGACAGGTTGTGCTCTAGCATATTTTTGAAAGGCAGTTGTTGGAACTGGGAACATATTTTTTCCCATAGAAACTATGTTATAAATAGAGGTTAGGTTCCCAGGCTAGCCCACACAAGTGTGCAAACCCACAATGTGACTAGACTTTATGGGTCTGTCATTCCAACAGAACCAAGCTAGCTGCGTCCTGCTGTGTGGGAGAAGGAAAGCTTATGGGCAAAGGGAAAAGAAGAAGGTGCACCCTCTCTTACGTCTGCAGTGACCTCCCCAAGCTGAGAAACCTGCAGCTTGTCTCCAGCTTCCCTTGTGGATGTTGGAATCAGAGTCTTGTTTGGAAGGTACAGCAGTGGGTATTTGTCTAGTGATTCCTATACTCCAATTACAGGTAAGCTTGTCAAAAATGCAGATGCAGGAACCTATATTTTGTTTCATTATGTCTTAACTCAGGCATCCATATTTTCAAAATCTAAGAATATAAGAATGCACAGATTGATTACCACTGATTAAGTTCCTTCTACAATCTGATGATTGGATCTTTTCAAAACCAACATCTAGATGTTGTTAGCCCCTTCCGAGCCTCTTCCAGTACTGAAAAGTTTTCTCCCTCTTCAGGCAGAGTCTCCAAGAAGAGATCCCTGATGTCTATGCAACCAGTTCTGCCGGGCTGACATCTTTCTCCCTATAACTTGTATTCAGCATGTCATCTTCTTGTGGAGCCACAATAAATGCATCTGCTTCCTCTTATCCACAACAGCACCCCAAAGAGCAGAAGGCAGTGGCATGCTGACGTGGTTCCCAATGGTGGTTTCCCCTTTATA